TAGCCTCGTGGCACGGCATGCCATGCCATGCATAGCATGCATGCCGTTGATGGCACGTCCCAGTTTGAGCCCTCAGAGAATGGTGTTGTCTTTAGCAAAACTAGATCCAAGAACCATGGATGACATGCCATCCAAGTAAAGAATCAGCAATGAATGTTCAAATTGGTCCACAGCAAGGTACTTACAACTCACAGTCTCAACGCAAATATTCGCACCGGCCAATATTTAGATCTCAACTAGATCCATCTCTAGGTATACTGTATCATCACTGGTATGTGGTTTATGTCCCCCACCCCACATCAATCATCGCTCCAGTAAGGTTAAATTTGGGTCTATCCTAGTACCAGTAACAGTGGATGATGATGGTTAGTAGAGGCCTTGTTCAAAAACATGAGTATTTACTGACTGTTACAGGAATAGGACAGACCCAAGGTAAAATCATGTAACATTCTGAACCGGAGTAGCCTTCAACTCTCGCGCTCCCCGCAAAAAGGAGATCTTGCAACCAGCTGCGCAGCAAAAAAACATGAAAGCACAACCATATGATACCAGTCCAGTGTTTTTTTGGTTGTTGTGTCCACCGATGAACCACAAACCCACCGACCAGTGCGTATCTGTGCGTCACCTGCTCCCAACGGATCGCCCGATCCCGACACCGACACCGGGCGGGTCTCCCCAGCCCATGGGAGCTGGAGGAGCGGCTTTGGGGCGGCCGCCAGGCGCCTGAAGTCTGAACATGTTCAGTTCATTTTGATGTGGGTTTGATTGACACAAACATCAAGGGTGTACAAAAGTGTACCAGTGACCAGTGTTCAATATCTGATTGGATGGCCTTCATATCTTCATTTTTAACTATCTACTGCCACCCAACAGAATCGGATGGTGAGGGCTTTGCCTCGTGACGTTGGATTCCAACCCGAGTCAACTGCGATTCCGTTGAATTCAGTTCTTCCTTCTTCCTTCTCACTCTGTATTTTAATCCACTGACACGAACTCATCAAGGGGCGCCTGGTGCGGGGGAGATGGCAAAGCAGCAGGCGGCCCTGACCTTGATGAAGGACAGGTCACTAGTAGACTGTGAAAACAGCTGCACTGAAGTCTCTTGTCTCTTGTCACTGTGTCCCATGTGTCCCAAGGAAGTGTGAACATTGGCAAGCATTTGGAGAACGGCTTCACAGGTGGTATCTAGCCTCATTTAACAAGACAAAGACTCGTTTGCTCATACTACCGACGATGCTTGAAAAAACACCAAACCAATGTTCTATCAAAACCTGGGAAGATTTGACCACGTTGACTTCTTTTGCTCCGACCGTTCCAACATGTTTCTCTCAGAGCTCGACTCAACCACCTGCCCTTGCTCCTGAGGAGAGAAGTGTCATCCATCTCGTCCACCCACTCCACAGCCAGGTTCTCAGGTTCTCGTTTTGTGGGTGTTTTGTGGTTTCTCGTTTATCCATGTTGTTCTTGTGCGTTTTTGACTTGCAGAGTGTGTACGTGTGTTGGTTTCTGTCCAACAACAGCCAGTGCCTTGTCTTCTTGCTCCGGACAGCTTCTCCATTGGCATGTGTGTGATGTGTTTTTTGATTTGGAGTGTGTTTGTGTGTTCGTTGCAAAATGCAATCCTCATATCGATCAACTGGATGGCGCAATTAAGAGTAAAAAGCATGCAGGTATTTTAAAAATAAACACACACAAAAACACCACAAAAATACTGAATACCAAATCCCCCAGCTTTTGCTCATATGTACGAAATAAAGGGCAAAAGGTCTAACCAAAATGGAGAAAAATATATCGCATCGTATCTTCAAACAAAAGGAGCCCTCTCGTCTTCTCCCCTCCATCTCCCCCCCAAAAAAGAAACTCCTCCGCTTCTTGGCGTCTCTGATCCACGAACATGCCCAAGCAAAGTGCAAAGGTATCCCGTGCCTTCAAACGTAGAACAATATGCGAAAAGACCAGGCATTGCCCAGGCATTATTGCAACGTAAAGATCTATATCTATATTCATGCATGTTGGAGTGCCGAACTCTCCAGTTCACACCCTGAAATATAAGGGGAAACAGCACAGTCTTGAAGAGGAATCATGTTTGTTTGAGCAAGTCTTCCCCAACACAAAAGGGATAAACCTGAAGACTGTCAGCCTCGTCATCTTCGAATTCAAAGGCAAAGACCGTTTGTTCCTAAGGCACGGGAAACTTCCGACAAACTCCGAACGGCAACATTGAAATGCTTTCAGTACTGCTAGACCCCACATTTACCGCAAGGGATTTGTTCCGTCTCAAGCAGCTATCCCCATCATCCCCCATCTAATTACAAACCTCGAAAGCAGCTCTTGATCCACACACAAGACCAATCTGACAACGTGATTGGTAGAAGAGTGGGAAGAGAAACACCAAAGAGAAACACCCCATCTACACCTCAACTGAATGCTCACCATCTCTGTGCGAGCATTCAGTGACGCCCAAGGGCCAAGGGTAGTGTATGGATGCTCCAAGCATCGTCCTCCAGAACTAAGGTGACACAAAGATCGTGGAGCGGTAGATCCAGCTCCTTGGACAAACCAACGGCTGTTCAGCGCAAAACGCACGAAGCCGCTTCAAACCAAGTTTCAGCTTGTTTTCTTCAACGGATTTCACTTGTCAGTCAACCTCTTGGACAGTATGTGTCCCACGCGTTTTCGGACAGCCAAAGTGACCAAGGCACCCTTTTTGGGGGGAAGCTTCGAAAAAAACAAACTAACCCCAGAACAAGGCTCTACCCCCAGACCCCCAGAGTTAAACGAGAACCCTTCGCTACAGTACGCATTCGAAAAACAATGTTTGCTACAAACATTCAGAAAGCCGGCCATGATCCTTTTCCGTGACCCTAAGACATCCGCCGAGATTCCACAGCATGTTCAGCGCCCACCGAGATCCTCGTTCAGTTCATGAGCGAAAACCAAGGTTTAGAAGAAACGACTGTCAACCCCCCCCGGACACAAAGAACAAATAAGGATTGGGTATATCATGGTATATCCCATATCACTCCATTACGAGTAACAGTGGATGATGATGGTTAGGTTGCAGGCCTTTCTAAACAGTGATAGTGATACTCTTTTCCTGACTATTGCTGGCCCAGGACACATCCGATAAAAGACCTGAATTTTTGAGGCTTGGCCAGCCGAAAGAAGTCCCTGCAACCCTGCAGCCAAGGTGCTGCATGATGGTTTCCAACGGCACACGCTGGGGGCGACCATTGGCTCGAATCGACCTGGAAAAAGAAGGTCTGGTCATCAATTAGGTGCCTCCAAGCCTCATTTGAAGAGGTTTCTCGTCTTGAAAAGGCTTTGAAAATAAGGTCATCAACACCGACACATGAGTCAGCTGAAACATCTCAGAAAGTAAACTGATACATCCCAAGGCGTCTGCCTAGACTAAGAATCTCCTGCAACAAGAAAAACTAGGCAGTCAGCTTTGACTCTCTCCCACTTTTCAAAAATGCAATGAATGTCAAAGGGATCTAACTACGTAAGTGCGGAGAGATTCAATTTTTGCCCGAGAACTTGTGTTTGAACCCTTTGCTTGAGGCCAAAAATAGCACCTAATTACCGCACGTGGAACTGCTTATATTGGGATCAAGTGGCAAGGCCGTCTTGCCTCGATCCATCCTCAGTGCATTGACCACAGCCATGACAAAATTGCTCAAAAAAAGACGTCACACGACATCCTGAAACCCATATCACCTGGAGACGTTCAATCCGTCAAACGCCATAAAACCTCCAAGAATCCTTCCCTGCCCCTGGCCAAAAAAAAAGGATGAAACCAGGTAAAAACCTGGTAAAAACGAACCATCTCCGACGGGGCTCTGGACCGTGCAGCGACCAACACCAGATCTGGACAGCAGGGGCAAGTTTCTGCCAGCAGCCAAACCGTCCTAGGCAAAGGACACACGTCGGATGAACGAACCACTGACGTGTCCCTCATATCTGACAGGCCTTGTGAAAAACCATTGGAAAGAAGTATGTTCCAAGCCTGTCATGTTTTTCATGTTTTTTTTTTTCTCATGCATGTGTCAAACTTTAGTAAAGCTAGAAATACCTGTTATATAAACACTGCAAGAGTTTTGGATGCAAGTATTCTGCATGCCAAGGCCAAGAGGCCACAAAGGCATTGATAATGAGCTGTGCAGCCTCTTCTCCCATGGCGTTCGGATGTGCACGGCTTTGCGGGCCGTTGGTCCTCGTTTGTCCAGGAAGGAGCCAGGTGACAGCCAGGTGCCTGGGGAGCGGTCTGAAACTTGGGCTTGAACTCCCTGGGCGCTGTGAATCAACGAAACCGGAATTCAGCAAAATGCTCCGGGCAGCCCAGTGTAACATGGAACGTCTCAAGCAGCTCCATACATTATGATGTATCGCTGCCTGCGCTGGTGAGATAAAGTGGATATGTGACATGTGCCATGTGACGCATTCATCAGCTTGTGTCTTGAGTGCGTCATCTAGATGTTGTCAGCCAGAGCTCAGCCGCTTTCGACTGACCTTTTGGCCAAGAACGGCTGCAGAGATGAGACCTCCGAAGACGTGGTTAGGTGGAACAAACTCAACCCCACACGCACACCCTCGCCACACCTTAAAAAATCTGTCTGAAGATTAAGCGGAGTAAAGTCCCTTCTTCTTCGTCAGATTCAGAGATGGCCGCCAAACGATGTCAAAAAACATGAACAACATTATATGAATACTATATATGTTTAATGCTTTTTGTATCAATCACAAATCAATTTGTTCGACTTGAGCTGTAATTACCATCCACCCTCTTCAGAGGGTTCCAAGATGTTCCTGAAGAGGGCCCCGTGCCTTCAATGCTGAGATTGAGATACATGGCCTCCGACTGCCAGACCTTGGCGAAATCGCGGTCTAGCAGAAACGGCCCGCGACTTAGACTTGCGAAAGCACATCGGCGTTCTTGGGCTGAAAAAATATATGGTGCATCAGTGGATAGCAAATTGATAGCGAATGAGTCTTGGATATCAAATTTGATGGTCACTTGGATAGCAAATGTGTCTTCCAAGTTTGTCATGTGCCGCACGTCGTCTTTTTCGATGTGCTAAAAGTCTGAACCAAGCAACTGGGAAGACGTTCTGCGGCACTCCAAGATCTGCACAACCCTGGCGCAAAGGTTGTGTTCCTTCTTTGTTTCTGGTTGCTTTCGGCTCACCAGTTTGTTCTTGTCAGTGACTGTCTATTATTCCAGGTTCATTCTCTTTCATTCCTCGGTCAAGTCGAAAGCACAGTGCCTGCGTGCCAAGCAAGTAGCAGTCTGCTCCATTGGACTGCAAAAGCAGTTGACGACCATTCTCCTCATCTGCTCAAAGATGAGTGTTAAAACATCGAAACCAATGCTATTTTGGAGCTGGTGCAGCTGGCAGCCTGACAGCCTAATATCTATGAGTTTTGAATGGATTCTATCTACTAGGAACAAGAAGCTACTAGGGGCTCCTGGCATCGCTACTAGGAGCAAGGATGCTACTAGAGGCTCCTGGCCTTACTACTAGGAGCAAGGACGCTGGGGGACGCTACTAGGGACTCCTGGCCTTACTACTAGGAGCAAGGATGCTGGGGGACGCTACTAGGGGCTCCTGGCCTTACTACTAGGAACAAGGACGTGCTGGCCTTACTACTAACAAGAAGCTACTAGGGGCTCCTGGCATCGCTACTAGGAGCAAGGATGCTGGGGGACGCTACTAGGGGCTCCTGGCCTTGCTACTGGGAGCAAGGACGCTGGGGGACGCTGCTAGGGGCTCCTGGCCTTACTACTAGGAGCAAGAAGCTACTAGGGGCTCCTGGCCTTACTACTAGGAGCGATCGGACGCTACAAGCTCCGTTCGTAGGTAAGCTACTCAACACTTCGACATTCGACTCATTCGACTGTGCTTCTCAAGCCTATGCCAACGGCATGAGTCCTCCTCGCGATGGCTGATCTTGAGACCAGCTGTGCGGTCGGTAAAGAGCATCTCAAAGGAGTGCACATACGGCTTCCTTGGATAGAAACACATTGACTGACCCGTTTCTTACATGTTCTGTTTCAATAAAACTGACGACAACCACGGCAGGCACAGAATGAAAAAAATGAAAGAAGTAACAAAGAGGCTCGCGAAGCAGAGCACGCAAGAAATATAAACGACACGATTTCACTGAGCGTCTGCAGCATCACAGGCACCAGGGTACTCTCTATTGCTGCATAGTCATAGCTCGTCTTGACAAGCCCCACCTCTATCGCAGAGATCAAGGCGGACTTCGCCTTGCGCTTGTTGGAGTTTGGCATTCACTGCCCAGGCCAAACACTTCTGTTTGCCGAAAGGATACTGACATCAAACCAGTCTCCCTATCCACCTTGGCGTGTGCGAACGACATAGCAGGCAGACGGGTCATCATCCCATTTTGGAAATATGGGGTCAGCACGTCCCACGCTTCTCCCCCCACAAGCTGACCGCTCAACAAGAAACGCGAGCTGCAAACCAGAAGAATCTGTTTTATAGCGTCCCCATCACAGTATGTGCGTAGGCCAACCCGCAAGTATTGGGCAACTCCAGACAAGAAATCATTCACGGAACAACAACTGAAATGGCGTCCCGCTTCTGAGACACCCAGATTCTTGCAGCCTCACCCATCACACAGGCCTCATGGCGCTTTAAATCATGCTTAGTTGGTCAGTTTTGGCCTGGTTGGCTTCTGCGTTTGGCGTCTTCTTTCTCAGGCCTCAAGGGCGGAATCCATCACTGCCTTCGCTTCGGCGGCCGCGGCACGTGCTGAGCCTTCCAGCAAGTACCATGCTTGGTCTTCCTGGTACGATCTTCCGAACGGGTGAGCCAGGTGAGCCCGGTGTTCGGTGGACTCGCGACCCATCGAAAACATGTTCAGGTGACAACGAAAGAGATGACCAATTGACAAATCAAAGCTGTGACCCTAAGTTGCCCCGAGGTAAGTACAGTGTGCCCAAAAAACACACACCAAAAGCCACAAACACGGATCTGCAAACCCGCAGCGCTGTTACAGCCCCAAACTATTGGCCTCTCACGGCCTCTGGTTGGAGCTGCAAAGAAACTCCGCAGACCCTACTATGCATGTACTTTGTTGCAAGCAACACAATCACTTGGGCAATGGCCCTGTGTTGAGAAGGGCCTTCAAGAACCACAAGATTTCCACCCGTCCTCCACGATACCCATGTATCGGACGGTGAACACGGCGCTGACCACCGTGGAGGCGATGATCCAAAGCACCAGAAATGAGGCAAAGCCAATGGAGCCGACCCTTGGGGCCAATGTTCACCGGTTCTGAAGACAGAAAAGGCTGAATATACACTGGGGTGCCAAAAGTTGCGCTTCTTGACTTCTAAAACATCACAA